TCCGTAGGGCCTCTGAGGAGTCTGCCTGCCTCCTCCCACTCAGCTGCCCTACAGCTGAGGGGGGGGGTGGGCAGACTGTTTGGAGCAAAACGGAGCCTGCAGGCGTCCAAGCCACTGCGTCACTCCCAGGAGAGACGCATGGCTCGGGCGTGCTGCAGGCCCCGTGGTAAGTGCTGCCCGGCATTTTGTCATCCCCCTCAGCGGTGACACCCGGGACGACCAACCCCCACCACACACACCCCTTCCTCTGCACCTGGACAGAACACAACCATAGCTGTCAACTTTTTCCTTTTCTTGTGAGGAATCCTATTTGGAATAAGGGAATTTCCCTTAAAAAAGGGAAAACGTTGATAGCTATGAACACAACCCATTTCAAACTGGCAATGTAGGAAAGCAAACCACTGAACACTTTGACCTCTTTCTTCTCTCTTTTTCAATCAGCCACATGCAATGCTGGGTTCACTCAACAAACGGGGACCTGTGAACTCCCTCTAGGAACCCCACTCCTGCATCCACCCTCATTGTCTGAGACGGTCAGTATTTTGTAAGAGGAATTGAAGCACACATTAGACATTTAGGTTTGTGCAGGTCCACAAAGTAGCCAGTGGAGAACCAAGTGCTATTAGGGTTTTTTTTCTAGTTACAGAGACATTTTGATGTATACCATATCATAGAATGGTACAGTTGGTACTCATCTAGTCCAACTCCCAGCAAAATGCAGGAATTTCAATTAAGGCATCCATAACAGATGACCATCTAACCTCTGCTTAAAAACATCCACGGAAGGAGAGTCCACAACCTCCTGAGGGAAACCATTCCAGTTGAAGTGGATTAAGACACCCTGGTGCAATGTATACATTTAAACAACAGCAGCAACAACAAAAAACAGGCTTTTTGCACTGAAAAGAACCCTGGGTGATCAGAGTTCAAAATCATCACTGAAGCCTCCATGCACAGTGATGACAGAAAAAGAGAAAGCAACATTAGGTAAAAGGTAAAGGTAAAGGACACTTGGATGGTGAAGTCCAGTCAAAGGCAACTATGGGGTGCAGCACTCATCTTGCTTCAGGCTGAGGGAGCCGGTGTTTGTCCACAGACAGCTTTCTGGGTCATATGGCCAGCATGACTAAACCGCTTCTGGCACATGGGGGACTGTGACGAGTGCCAGAGTGCACGGAATGCTGTTTACCTTCCCGCCACAGCGGCACCTATTTATCTGCTTGCACCGGTGTGCTTTCAAACTGCTAGCTTGGCAGAAGTTGGGACAGAGCAACGGCAAGCCCAAGAGGCTCAGTGGTTTAGACCACAGCACCACCTGCTCCCCTAACCTTTGAGCAACATTACTTTGTGGGGAGAGGCCAAATGAGTGGATCCACAGACCCTTTCACCACACTTTCCCCTACTCATGAAGGGAGCTACCCTCTACCTTAGAGGATACATGGCAAAAACTCACTGCTCTGGTCTAGTGGCCAAAGTCGTTTCTGATAGCAGACTGCCTCAGTGGCCACGGCTTCTTAACAGCTGCTCTTATATTTTTGCATTTTAACCCCCATGGCCAAATACATTGCCCATACATCTTGGAGAAGATTCTCCAAATGCTAGGATTTTCTCACTCTCGGCTAAGGCTCTCAGGTTTTCCCAGTTGATTAATTTAACTGAATATCATGATAGGGAATATATGGGTCATACAGCTTGAGCTGTAGAGATCTCCTTCACTCACATTATTACTGCTAAGGTGTTTAGCATTCCATTTAATGAGCAGCGCCCCCCACCCACCTCAAAATCATATATGCTGGCACTGCAATTATTTTAGCCCATTAAAACCTTTGAGTCCAAATGATGAATATAACATGAAGCAGAACATTTGGGTGGGGCAGTGAGGAATGGGTGAAGAACTTCTGGACTTTAAACCTTAGAAACAGGAAGTGCTTAAGACTGCTCATTACCATGACTGTAGCAAGCTTCATGATGTCAAGTAAGAACATGATGGATTTGTCTCCTGAGATAGATGGAGTGCGCTTGGCAAATATCTGTAGATACAATACCAGTACTTGGTGGAGTGGGATGGGCAATACTTTTCATGCAAACCTATAGCTAACCAGCTGTTTCCTCCCTACACCACAGTTTGTCCACCATGTTCTTAGGCACAATTTGGTGAATATTTCACTCTGTTCTAGCACTTTCTGGAAGCCCTTCTGAAGAACAATGCAAAAAAAACACACAATCTTCCAGTGGTCAACCTGTCACCGCCTCTTTAATTCCTTGATAAGTGTCTTGGCTCCCCATTGTAAGAGAAAATGTATGCTGTTTCTTCCCTTTGAACCATTTGAATGTACAGGGTTTAGATGGCAGCAACTTCCACTGCATTAGGTCATGAGGACAAATCCCTAAGCCACTGAATATCGCAAAGCCACCAAATGTGCTCTGATGTGAACATCCTGTTGGATGTGACATGGAAATCGATGCAGTATAGTAGATTCTTTGGACTAACACGTTCTTCTAAAAAATAAAGGAAGGAGGAGGGATGGCCAAAGGGTGTTTTTGGAAGGGCTGCAGCTCAGTCGTAAAGCAGTTGCTCTGAACAGGTTCCAGGTTCAATCCCTGGTATCTCTAGGTAGGCTGGAGAGCTACTACTGTCATCATGGACAGTACTGAGCTATATGAGTTAATGGTCTGGTTCGAGATAAGGCAGCTTCCTGCAGTCCTCTGCATAAACTTAGTCTGGGCTGATAACTTTTGATGCCTAATCATTTGACCACCCCAGGTTCTCCATGGATTCACATTAAATTACACTACATCAATGGTTTTCAACCAGTGTGGCGTGGCACCCTGGGGTGCCTTGAATGATGGTCAGGGGTGCCATGGGCAACACTGGTCTCTGTCCCCATTTCCTTCTCTCCCTCCTCTGATGCCCTCTCATGCCTCTGCCTCTCAAAGGCTTCCACAGTTGTTTGTTGCAGCAGCCCTGCCTGCAAGTTCCCCAGGCAAATGGTGCTCTGGGACTGGCAGGGGCTGCTTCCCAGGCCCCTGTGGGGCAGTATGAGGAGGCATCCCTCTTTGGGGCAGGGGGGGCCGTTCAGAGACCAGGGGCAGCAGCAGCGCCTGCTCAGAGGACTCCCAAAGAGAGGGGAGAAGAGAGGAGACAGAGGGAACGCTCCACGCTGCACTACATTGTTGATTTAATCAAGATAGCTTCTCAAAATAAATCTAAAATGAAAGGTTTGTTCACACGTTACATAGATACAAGCTGTCTCTACATATGTGCAAGTGTTTCTGCAAAAGAGTTACCCTTGTTGATTTGTACAACTATTTATATGCAGGAAATACACAATACACAGCTTGTACACTCATTGGATGAATCACATGAAGACCCCAAATGTATGGCTTATAATCCAGTGCTTTGTACCACACTTCCATATAAAATATTATCTTTTATTGGGAAGCCTCGATTTCTGCTTATGCATGCCATGCATACAGTAAACCACAGCTGCTTCAAAAGCTCAGTTGCATTAGAGAAGCAGATTTCAAATTCAGCTCAACTCTTGTTGTACGCCATGAAATATCAAGCCGCACTGACTGCATCAGTGAAGCTCAGCAGGCCAACAGTGCCTTAGCTGAGCAAACTTCAAAGCTGACTGATGACTTAATAAAATGCTGCTGCAAACCCATGATGCTGATATAGAGAATATCTTGCACGGTGCATTTCAACCTTTGGAACTTCTGACTGAAAGATGGAGGGGAGGAAACGGAGAGAGACTGCAGGGTGACTTTCAATGAAAGTGGAAGGACTTTGTGTTACACAGGAACGTTTACTGAAACCTCGCATCTGTTCGCTCACATTAAAGCAAACAAACAATGGGACAGACTTTGGCTGTGTACACACCATACATTTAATGCTGTTAAATGGCATCTAATATCCCAGACGCGGGTGGCGCTGTGGTCTAAACCACTGAGCCCAGGGCTTGCCGATCAGAAGGTCGGCGGTTCGAATCCCCGCGACAGGGTGAGCTCCCGTTGCTCAGTCCCAGCCCCTGCCAACCTAGCAGTTCAAAAGCAACTTAAAGTGCAAGTAGATAAATAGGTACCACTCCAGTGGGAAGGTAAACAGCATTTCCATGCACTGCTCTGGTTTTGCCAGAAGTGGCTTAGTCATGCTGGCCACATGACCTGGAAAAACTGTCTGCGGACAAACATCGGTTCCCTCGACCAGTAAAGCGAGATGAGCACCACAACCCCAGAGTCATTTGCGACTGGACTTAACTGTCAGGGGTCCTTTACCTTTACCTTTTTGTATCCCAGAGCATGTGCAAAGTGGCTTAACGTTACCATTATATAACCACATCCAGTTCTAATACAATTAGAATCAGAGATAAAGGGTTAAAGGATAGGGGGATTGAAGCAGAGCATAATTTATGCTGCTACACATTTTTCTTCCAATAAACTCAAAGGTGGTGTACACAGAGTTGTCCTTTGCCCTTTTACCTTCACAACAACCCTGTGAGGAAGCTTAGGCTGAGAGAGAATTACTGGCGTGAGACCAGCCAGCCAGCCCCAAGGCCAAGTGGAGAACTGAACCCCCATCAACTAGGTCCTATTCCAACTCTCTGTGAACGACTGGAGTAGTCAGGGAAGGGGTGCCCAACCAGCCTCAATCAAAGCTATTTTCTAAAAGGGCAAAAGCGGAAATGGAGGAAGGGATTTGTGGCCCTCCAGGAGCTTACAATCTAGGAAATGACACCAGGCTGAGAACTGTGGGTCTGGTCAGAGCTTCAGGGGGGCAATTTAGATTGAAGAAATGGCTTAGGGAAAATGGGTTACACACATCCCAGAGAAACTGGAGTCTTAGAGCTTAAAAACTATCGCATATGGCCTGTCCCAAATGTCTAATAAAAATTATTTCAAAACAAAAACAAGAAACAAAGCTTGCCACAGCCTTGGTGTGAAGCAAGACAGGAAAGCGAATTTGCGTTCTTGATGAGCAATAACTTAGAGGCGAGAATGAACACTACAAATTTTTTATTTTATTTGAATATGCATAGAGTGCACAATCTGGTTGAGACAGACCTCCTCACAAAACACCCTCCTCCAAGCCCACTCAAGCGATATATGGCAAGTCTGTCTTCCATTATTCTTCCCTCATATGAAACTTGCTTCAGTACCTCTCCAGTTCGTGGCCTCAGCTGTGTTATCTCAGTAGCCATCTGGCATTCAGACGTATAAGGCGAGGACATCGTCTAAGGAACAATGGTATCATTTAAGTCAACGGAGCTGTTTTTTCTTTTATCATCATCAGCCGAAGAATTGTGTTATTGGCCTCTAAACAATTGTGACTAATTAGAATCCTTGCTGGATATCCGAGGAGAAGATGGCTAGAATGACAGCAGATATAAAAAGGCAAGCGGCTCGGCCAATAGGAACATTGCCACAGAGAGAGGCAGCTCTGGCTTCTCATGCACTGACCTATAAAAGCAGAGGATAGCAAGATTACTGAACACTGCTGGCCGGGAAAATGGAAGAACCAAATCAATTTAGGGATGTGCTGATTTAACCCTCTGCTTTTGGGGAGATTGGAGTTTGGTTCAAGTGAAATTTAGGAACACGTGTGGCACATTATTATTCTTGAATGAGATGGTGTCCTGGAATTATACTAAAAAGAACAAAGCAAGCTAAAAGCTTAAAACAAGCAGCAAGTGCAGCAAAGCAGCCTACAGTGTTGATTGGTTTCTTAAGTTTAGATTTAAAGGAAAAGATTGTCATAGCAAATGTTGCAGAGTCATTAGCTTTCCCCTCTTTGCTTTCTACCAGAACATCAACCAAAAGTAAGAGATCAAAACTGGATATATTTCTGGACTAAACGTTTCAGAAGGCAATCCTGCAGATGGGTGATGGAAGAATAATTTTTGTCTCCTCGAAAAGCTCATCCTTTGAACCTGAACTCAAGAGAACACTCAGCTGTATATGTGCCTTGGCTGAATTTTCCATTCGTTTTAAGTTTTGATATATTTTGTTCTTCAGAGCATAAATCCATTCCAACACCGAGAAGAATGAGAATGACACCATGTCACATCAAAAAAGAGACTGGTCTTCACTTCGATGCACAAATAAAGCTTCTGGATGTGAGGGCTTCTCCATTTGCATCGGCTGATGGGGAATCTAGCCAACACTCCTTTGGAGAGGATACGTCAGTGGGCAACTGGAGCCCACAACCTCAGAGAATAAATATATTGGGACATATTGTACCCAGCAGTGGATGGAACGGTGTGGCCGTGCTGCTCACCTGGCTGAATCACTGCAGCACACCAGGACAGAGAGGGAGAGGGACAACAGCAGTGGTGAGGCTAGTGCAGTGCAAACATGCCAGCAGAGCCAATCCAGTGCTCTTGCCAGCGCATTAGAACAGCACCAGCGGTTGGATGGCCATCTGTCATGGATGCTTTAGCTGAGATTCCTGCCTTACAGGGGGTTGGACAAAATGACCTCTCATGTCCCTTCCAACTCTACAATTCTACGATTCTATGAATCCCCCCTCCCAACCACACTATTCCAATGAGGCTTCCACTCACTTCTGCTAATGGAAGAATTTCTTTCGTCTGAGGAACAACTGGCTTAAACTCTGTGCCCTCCAGAAAAGCTGCTCTGGGACACTAAGAGATCCTTCATAACAATGTGCAGGGTGGCACAGGAACAAGAGAAGGAACATGGGGATTGGGAAAACCTTCCTCCAGTGAATGCCTCTAATGGTTTGGAGTCCCTTTGGCAAACTGAAGGAGCTCTTCCATTTGCATAATGACATTTGGTTAAAAAAAATCAATGAAAAGCAATAATGTTTATTCTATCACATTTGTACAAGATGACTAGGCATTTATCAAATATGGCTGCCTAGAAATGCATGCTTTTGCAGATATACTAAAATGCAGTGAAACTGTGGTACATTTAATAGATCTATCCACACACGTTATACCTCAACAAAGCAATAGTTCCAGACCTACCCAGATGCTTTCAAAACTGATTTATGGCAGTGGAAAATGTAGCCTAAATTCCACTAATATAGCATTTAATATTAGTGCAAACCATGTGGTTATTACTCTATTATTATGCCATAATGTATATTTTATGGCAAAACCAACAGAAAGGGTTTTGAATATTAATAATTGCATTTTCCCAGGCTGAAAGGCATTTGCGAGGGTGATGCAGGTTTTTTAAAAATAATATTTTTCATCACAAATATTTAAAAAATGACAGACGCAAGGATGCAAACAGTGGCACAGCAATCACTTTCAGTAGCTGATAATAACTCTAGTTGCACACACAGATACAAGATATTCCACAAGGCAAGAAATGTTTAAGGATACATTCCATTTTAGTGGTCTGTAAATTTTCATAATCTTATATAGATTTCCCCGAACTAAATCACACAGAACGTAAGAAGCTGTCTTAGCCAAATTGGACTATCTAGCTCACAAGGTTCCCAGAGTTCCAGGCAGGAAGTTTTCCCCAGCTCTACCTAGAGATTCTAGGGACTGAACCTGAAATCTTTGTGATTTTATTCATTTCTTAACCAGAGACACATTTTGTTCTTGCCACTATAGTGATGTCCCTGCTTTTATATACCCTGCTCACATTGCTTTTCTCTCTTGAGTTCCTTTCTCTCTATATTCCATGGATACACAATAAGGTGCACTCCAAATGATGTTGGACTCCAATTTCCATCCTTCCCAACTTGCATGGTCCATTGTCAGGGATGATGGGGCCTAAAGTCCAGAACATCTTGATAGCATCTTGCCAGCTGCCTCTTCTGTAATCCACATGGTCCTTTGCACTTGTCCTTTGTATGGTTCCTCTTGTCTGATTTAACATCATATCCCATGAAGAAGAGGGCACCATGAGAAGCTCCAAAACATCTGGAATGAGTAGCTGAATTTCTTGTGCCATTGTTTGACCTGCTAATGACAAATTGAAATATGATAAGGGGTATCTTTAACAAAAAGACATTCCTTAAATGCTCATATTTGGATTGGAACTAATATTAATATTAATGTTTCTGTGAACAATAATAAATCCCTGAAATTTGAAAAGCCCTCTATATTTTCTATGTCAATGAAAAGAAACTGTGACTTTGGTATGTCTTATCTTAGAAAGATCATCACACTTGCTTGGCAATGGAATGGACTGATCATTTGGAAAGGCGGCAGAGAAATCAATTTTGTGACACCACTGATTTAGCTTATTCAATATATTTCTGTATATCAAACCAACTCCTTGATCAGTAATCATCTAAATAGTAAATCATCTAAAATATGGATGGCATTAATGTTTTCACCATTGAATTACCAGCTAGACACAAAGAAATGGATTGTGTATCTGGAATATCCATAGGGATTATTCTACTGTTATTAATTTGACTAGACACTGGATGTCAGTGTTGCTGTTTGCTAAAAGGAATGAAATATAAAAGGCAGCTTAATAGAAGATATCAAACAGAACGAGTCTAAATGGCTTTAACTTCTAACAATATTATTTTATATTTATCATGGATCTTATTGGTCTGAAAATATTGTTTTCTATCTAGATATTAAGGTCCTGATCAAGTCACACTCTGTATTTAATTTGTTAATTAAATTTGTATACTGCCCTTCATCTGAAGAGCTCAGGGATATTACATAATAATTAATTTTTTTCCAAGCGCAGATAGCTTTGTCGATATATTTCTAAATCATTCTGAAACTACAGGCAAATTAATGGTGTCTCAGAGTGTCACCATAAGCAACGGTAAACACATTTATAAAATCTGGTATGAGAGAAGATAGTTTAAGTGAGTTAAACTGAAGTGTTCAGATGTAAACCTTCACAGTACATTCGACTGCAATGAAATCATCTTAAAGCCTGATAGTTTAATTGGATGGAAATGATGGGACACATCCTCTGACAAAAATAATAATAATCAAGCCAGAACTGGTCCAATTAAGGGTTGGTTTTGCAGTTATGGAAACTCAAGAGTAACAGTCTGGATGCTCTGAAGGGATAGACACATTGGTCTGGAAAAAGCACAAGAGAATGGTGCATCATGTATGCCATTTCACTATGCCATTATCACCACACTGTTTTTATACATCATAAATCTGGTCCCGGGACTTCCCATTTTGATGTGATTATGGATTATCGTTGTGATGCTTAAAAGGACCTTCAAAGTCAAACTTTCCTACCAAGCTTTGTCTGTAGTTTTCTTTGTGTGCTTGTTTGAACAAGGAACTAAAGTGTAGATTCAGGTAGGTAGCCATGTTGGTTTGAGGCAGGTGAATAAATTAAAAAATTGTCCAGTAGCACCTTAGAGACCAACTAAGTCTGTTCTGGGTATAAGCTTTCGTGTGTTTGAAGAAGTGTGCATGCACACGAAAGCTTATACTCAGAACCAACTTAGTTGGTCTCTAAGGTGCTACTGGACAATTTTTAAATTTATTTTAACTAAAGTGTAGTATTTAATGATGAATATTCCCTTTTTGTAGTGGAAGGTGGCCAGTTGTGGACTGTTTGGCAGCATCCTGTTCTGCTGTCCATAGCCACCGATTGCAGTGGAACCAACTACCGTCTTTAAGAAATGAGGAATAGGTGGCCAAATACAACATTTTATGTAACACTGCAATGATCATTTGCAAGTCTGATGTGCACAATTGATTGGGGCCTCAAAGCAGGGTGACCATTTGTGTCATGTCAGACTTCCAGCCTGATCCTCAAGATGCTTACTTGGAAGTAAGCCCCACTGAATTCAACGGTACTTAATTCCTAATAGGTATGTGCTTAGGATTGCAACCTTTGTCTATTTCCTCCCCACATTTCACAGGCAACTTAATGATGCAAGTAGGGAAAAGGAACATTGCCATCAGCCGTTACCATGAACTATTAATCATCTTACAGCTGCAGAATTGGAATAATGCAGTGCATAGACTTTGCTACCACGTTGTACAGTCACGTTTCTACCAAAGCATGAAGTGTAAACAATGATCGTGGGTTGTGCACTATTAAAAGCAACATACGGTTTTCATCTAACATAGCTATATAGAAAGAAGAGCCAAGACTGACCTGAAAAACAAAAGACTCTGTTCCAATTAACGGAACCAGTCTGTACATAACTAGCCTCCAGACAAGAAACAAACAAACAATCCCCACTGAAGGGGAAGTTTCTTCTAATTAGAAAACCACTTACTCCATTTAATGGATCAAAATCACACATGGGATAGACATCAAAGCCTCCATTTGTTTGTTTTTTTGTACTGGGCCTTGGATCTCTTGCTGTTTCCTTGTTGCTTTTTAAATTAAAAAAAAGTTGCTTTCAGGGCAGCTTTCATAAGCCTGAATTTTCACCTATAACATATAAATTAGCATATCTGAATGCTATGCAAAGTTGTGTCGTGGGCCTATGCCTCAAGTGTTTTAAGGCCCTTGCAATGCCTTGCCACCCATGAGCTCAATCCTAGGTCATCTGTAATACATCAGAATTACTATCCTCCTCCCTTCTCTTCAGGTGCCATCCACATTTTGTGTTTCATTGTGTCTTGACAGGCTAGCAATCATGCAGGCTCAGTCTTGAGGCTGAAGACAGGTGATCGGGTTTTCAAGAGAGCTGTAGGCGATATGACAGGGACATTGTTGCCCTGGCGCAAACAACTCAGCCCACTGTCACCTCTGCTTATAGGTCTTTGTGGTGCTTCAGATCTTGCAAACCCCGTTTGACAGGCAATATTGGGACAAAGGAGATGGGGAAATAGCACAGCAAATGATGCTTCCTGAAGCAGCAACATCTACTGTCTTAAAAGCTAGAGCGCAGCCACAGAGTAGAAAGTCTGTCAAGCATGGGTGGAAACCCCCCAAACACCAACATCTAAACTTTTGCATCTACCTAAAATAAGTTTCTAGGAACAAAACCACTGCTTTCAAAATGAAAACAGAAGCGGGCTAGAAACGGAATTTGATTCAATGATCACTGATTGTCCATCAAAGAGTCTCTCATACTTTGCTCTGGATCAAGACCTTTAAAAATATATCTTGGATTCAGAGGTCTTGTGAGAAAAACACTCACAAGATGATTCGCAACCTGCGCAGTTCCTTGTACCGCTAAAAATCTGCTCCAGAGGGTTATGGAACCTTCTGAAACAGTATGGGAGGTAGTGCAGGAGACTGAAAGAAAATGAGAAATTAGGAAGAAGAAGAAGAAGAAGAAGAAGAAGAAGAAGAAGAAGAAGAAGAAGAAGAAACCTCTCCCTCTTCCATAAATGGAAAAGGCTTTGGGGGAAAGACTGTATCTCATTAGTAGAACACTTTATCTGTATGCGGAAGGTTCCAGGTCTTGGGGAGACCCCTCTCGAAAACCCCAGAAAACCACTGCCTGTTAATGTAGCATTTACATTGTAGTAGACAATACTCAGCTCAATTGATCAATGATCTGACTCAGTATGAAGCAGCTTCCTAAGCTCCTGTGTTCACTGGCTGCCGGCCCCAAGGGCTAATCTGGATACAAACTGCTGTGCTGCTTCCATATTTGTCTCAGGAGACTTCAGAATCTGTATTTCACTGATAACGATGTCAAAGACTCCCTTTTCAAGCTATAGGTCTGCCCTCAGGTAATGAAACTGTTCAAACTTCATTGCCTCTTTATGATGACATCTAAGTCCTTGCTGGAATAATAGCTGCTTCTGGTCGAAACAAGGGTGTTTATCAAATGGTTGCCTTCTTTGCTTGCATGGAGCTTTGTACATTTAACTGACATATCAATAGGATTGAGGATGCTGAGCATCTTTCATACATCAGCTGTCGGTACTTTGTGGGATTGAGTAAGGAAAGGCGTTTCTCACTTGCGAGTAATCACTTGGAAATCCAGCATTTCATTTTGCCACAAAATGAATCGGAGCAAAATACTGTGAAAAAGAAACTGATGCTCAATGGTGGCGGTGGCATATTTTATTGGCATGATTTCAAAATTAGCTTATGATTCAAAGCAATTTATTTATTTATTTATTTATACATACCCCGCCCATTTGGCTGGGTTTCCCCAGCCACTCTGGGCGACTCCCAACATAATATTAAAAACAGAATAAAACATTAAACATTAAAAACTTCCCTAAACAGGACTGCCTTCAAATGTCTTCTAAAAGTCAGGTAGTTGTTTATTTCCTTGACATCTGATGGGAGGGCATTCCACAGGGTGGGCACTGCTACCGAGAAGGCCCTCTGCCTGGTTCCCTGTCCAGGCTGAATGATGGGGGTGGAGACGCTCCTTCAGGTATACTGGGCTGAGGCCATTTAGGGCTTTAAAGGTCAGCACCCGCACTTTGAATTGTGCTCAGAAACGTACTGGGAGCCAATGTAGGCCTTTCAGGACCAGTGTTATATGGTCTCAGCAGCCACTCTCCCAGTCACCAGTCTAGCTGCTGCATTCTGGATTAGTTGTGGTTTTGGGTCACCTTCAAAGGCAGCCCCATGTAGAGCACATTGCAGTAGTCCAAGCAGGAGATAACTAGTCCATGCACTACTCTGGCGAGACAGTCTGCATACTGAAACTGTATACGTGACAGATTTAATGGTTTCTAACAATGTATACTAATATAAATCAGGGGGAAGACCATGTTGATAAACACCCAGAGCCAGGCTGAAGCAAAAGTAGTATTTCAAAGCCTGGGAAAGGTTCCGAGGGCCAGAAAGAGAAGTCTGGAGGTCTGCATTTGACTCCTTGGCCTGAGGTTCCCCACCTCTGTAGTAGAGTGAAGAAGTTTATAAGAAAGCAGCTGCTCACCTATAGGCTTCCACATGATGAAACACAGGCAGGATCAGGTATCCTTCTGATCATATGAAATGTACACATTAGTGCCAACAAGGCAACTATATTAATGTCTCTTTTCCCAGAAATTACATAGTGTGTCCTTCATGAAAATAGTATATCAAGGAGGCTTCTAAGGCTTTGGAATGCTTCTCATTTAGGGCATTTTTAATCTAATTCCTTCTGCACCTTGTTCAGAACTGAAACTTGATACTTGATTGTCTGATTGGATTATTTTTGCATGACTGCGCCATGTTGGTGCAAACTCAGCCCCTGACTCAACAAACAGCAGCTGAGAAGTAAAACCTTTCAGAACGGTTTGAGACAAAATACAGTTAAATCATCTTTCCTGCCTATGACAATTTGCATCTTCTTCCAATCTCCCTCCCGCCCACTCTGTGTTTTGCTTTTGTTTTCATACCAGTGTCTTTTTTCTTTTTGGTACTGTTAGGTTCTTCCACCATTCTGCGGCAATTAAGCAACATGTTTCCAGTGTTTGATTGTTTTTTACATAATAGGAACTGTTTCCAGAGGGGTGAAAGAAAGGTCTCCTATCACTGTAATGATGAAAAGAAACCCATGTAGCAATTTACTTAATTGGGAATGAAGTAGTTGGTAATAATTAAAACAAAATTAAATTAAATGTAATCTTTGACCTTGGTGGGGAGTTGAAGACAGTAAAGAGGTGGGAATGCTTGTGCTATTAATATGTTGGTGGAAAAGCCATTGCTTATAAAAACCTAATCTTTTTATAACCATTAAAATTAATGTTTTCAATCCAATATTCTGGGAACCTATTACCACTAAATCTTTACAGAGTAATAAATAGTGAAAAGATGCAATGGAGCCTTTGTCCTTCAAAAATAGTATTTCAAGATTTGTAGGGAGCATTGTTATAGTCCCTTCATTCTTTTAGAAACCAGTGGCCAGAAAGGAGGAAAACAAATACACCTCCAGAAGTAATTCTAAAAAAAATTGCAATCACTTTCCACATCATGATGAATGCAAACCATTTTCTTTCAAAGACTGTAGTCATTCAGTCTTGTCTAGTTTTAATGTTGACAATGTGTTGCCTGTAATTTGCCACAATCATTGATCCCAACTAATGCATACACAAGGACATGGGTGGCGCTGTGGTGTAAACCACTGAGCCTTGGGCTCGCCGATCGGAAGGTTGGCGGTTCAAATCCCCGCAACGGGGTAAGCTTCCATTGCTCGGTCCCAACCCCTGCCAACCTAGCAGTTCGAAAGCTCGTCAAATTGCAAGTAGATAAATAGGTACTGCCCTGGCAGGAAGGTAAACGGTGTTTCCATGCGCTGCTCTGGTTTCGCCAGAAGCAGCTTAGTCATGCTAGCCACATGACCCAGAAATACTGTCTGTGGACAAACGTCGGCTCCCTTGGCCAGTAAAGTGAGATAAGTGCCACAACCCCAGAGTCGTCCGTGACTGGACTTAACTGTCAGGGGTCCTTTACCTTTTAATGCATACACACTGGGACATCCATGCATGGAACAGAGTTTTCCTGGCCATTCTCAATCCCTCAGTCCTGCATCAAAGGGGCTCTGAGCTTAGAAGATGAACTAGATACCTCATAGGCCAAGGAACTTGAGAAGCATGCAGGCCCCCTGAATCCAGTGCTGAAGGCCCCATAGGGGCTCTTCATGCTGGTATCTGATGAGGAACTCCTGGAACTCTCAGAGGAGGAGGAGGAGGATTTGAGAGTGGTGCTACCAAAAGCTTTGGGTTCAGGCTGAAGGGTGATGATACAGTATCATCACACGCCCAGAGTCATCGGTCTCCTAATGAATAAGCCACCCTGGACACCTTCAATGTCAGCATTTGTGGTCAGGGTGCAGTTTAGGTGGCCAGAGTACATAAGTCTTCCCTCTTCAACTTTCTAGTTGCTAGAAACAACAAGGGGTTCTGGCTTGTTATTCTTGGGTTACTAGCCCCTCATTCCAGCTTCCTTGCTGTGTTGTACCTAGTCTGACCACCTTCCTATGATGACTGTTTGTTGATCTTGATCCTAGATCTTGTTTGGATGTGCAGTGATTCTTTGTGCTACATCTGCAACCTTGCGCTCATTAGCAAATACATTGATGGGGGCTTATATCTTCTGAAACTGGCTGAAAGCCTCACTTAACTACTCAGGTCCCTGGCTGACAACACTGGAATGTGTTCATCCCAGCCTCAATTAGCACTTTGATTCAGGGTGATTTGTATTTTTCCTTCAGCGAAGTAAGGCTTATTTGTGTTAGGCGTTTGGTATGACTGACTTCAGTTTGGGTGGACATGGCATAGGGCATCAGCATAGCAAAGGGGACCCCCATAAGGGGTCTATGGAGAAGGATTAGCTATGGCATGCCCCTAGCTCAGTTTGGGGCCTCCATTTTCCTGGAATCTCTCATCCTGGTTGCCTAGCAACACCCTGGATGCTTGGCTTGCACCATGGCAAACTTTAATGCTGGATGACTTCCAAGAAGGGGGGTGGGGCATTTCTCAACCCTGAAAGAGTACCATTTCTTCAGCATGGGCTGAATACAATGATTTATTGATCATTGCCCTAATAATAATTATTTTTTAAATCTGAGCCCAGGTTTATCACCATTAACTGCCATCTATTATAAGGAAGAGATACAGGGAAGAGGACTATTAAGTACTCTTAATATGTGGAAAAACTATGGTTTGTTAGAGCATTGACAGTAAGATGGCTCTTTCAGAATATATAATAAAATCAATGAGGAAATTTTACAGGCATGACCGCAATTTTTTCCAATATCTACAGGAATGAAATATTGCCCATAGTTTAATTACAAGATATGGCCTTCTTCAAGAAATATCAGAATTTGAATATATAATGCTGGAAGATAAATCACAATTATTATTATGCAAGATAGGTGAAATGATCAGTAATTTAGAATCAATGAAAAACACTTATCAATATAAATGGGAAAGAAATGTTGGCCCTGATATATGGAAACTGGCTCTGGTTCAATATTCCTCAGCAAACTATCAGCATTTATTTTAAAGTAAGTTTTTATAAACTTAGCATGCAATGGTATTTGACTCCACAATGACTTAATCATGCAAATAGGAGAGCAAACACACAGGGTTGGCATTGCAAAAATAATAATGCTGTTATACAGCATACTTTCTGGACATATCCTAAAATAAATACACTTTGGAATAACACAATAAAAGAAATAGACATTACAGGATATATACTCCAAACAGGTTCACAGGTTATCTTATTTGGATATAATACAGAACTCATTTTAATAGATGATAAAGAAATGGTTATCAATTTATTAATTGTGGCTCATATAACAATTTTTTCATAATTGGAAAACGGACATGATTCCTACAGTGGAAGACTGGATAATTAAAGTGTGGGATATGGTAAACATGATCAAACTGACTAATTTCGTCAAGTCAGAAAAGTCAAACACTTTGTAACTGATTTGTGGAGAAATGAAAAAGGTTCATAATGCATTTGTCCATCAAAGTTCAAGAAAATGTAAATCTATAGACTTTATTAAATATATTATTTTTCATCTTTGAATTACTGTATAAAGATCACGGGCAGGTAAGATGGCTAGGTAAGAATGACACATATTTTATTTATGCTGATATTACATGCTTCATTTCCGCACTTTTTCATGATTATCATTGAACATTTGTGAAAAAATGACAAATTGCCTAACAGATATAGCTGACATTCTTTTCTTCTGACTATTTAAGAGCTTCAAACAGTCCTGCTCCCATTAAGTTGTGTGTTTTCAGGACCCATCCTATTCTTGTGACGGTAACCTGTTTTAACTGTTTTTAATTCTGAATTTTAAATGGTTGTAACCCACTCTGGGATCTTCTGGTAAGGGGTGGAAATGCATAAAAACATCCATGAGGTTTAATATTGGTATAATGGCTAATACACACTTAACAGACATAATGAGAATCCATGGTCTCCAACTACACAAATGAGGCGACTAAACGACTAAACAACAACAAAAGACCCAGGTTTGCATGTTCAGTTTTCTACTCTTTCACGTGCCATAGGAGATTCAAAACATACACTTTTAGCTTTAAACTGATCACAGTTCCCCATTCTATGCAAACTCAGGGAACTGTGGTTTGTTTAAACTATGGTTTCAAATTAAGGCAGGATGTGAAACCACAATTTGGCCCCGGATTGTTGTCACTAACCATAGTGTGCAAGCAGGCCAATGTGGATATCACAGAGAACTGTGGTTCATTTAAAATCAAGAGTGATGGAGAATGGAGAGGAGGGAACATGGGGACACTATGCTAACCATGGTTTATTCACATCTAAACCTACAGCAACGGAACCAGGCCTCTGTTTCTCTGTTCCTTTGTGAGTTTGAGAAACCAGGCTACCAAACAGAGGACTTAAATCAGGTGTTGTTCAGCTTCACTCCATGCTGGCCCTGACTAACGTAATCTAACAAGATCAATTAAACAACAGCCAAGCCAAGTAATTAAATTATAAGTAAAAAGAGGTAGTCTGAACTGAAAAATATTTGTGTGCCCAGAATGGCGAAGAAAGCTCCCCTCTGCCCTGTGGATGGTCTGTGAAATTACAAATAGTAAGGAATGGACTTTAACGAAGAATGTGTTACCATTGCATTAAAGCCTAATCTGTATAAAGAGAAAATGAAGTGGCAAAAGGTTCTTTATTGGACTGTTGACACTGTGGGTGGTTGTGATGATCTGAGAGCGCCTTTATGTTTAAATTATCAAGGGGGGGGGAAACAAATTCACATAGAAACTAGCATATGTCAAGGATAGCTAGCCTAGAATCATTCTCACTGAGACCTAGTTTTCTATGTTCAGAGAGCTATTTTTAAATAAGAACCCAGGATGGTATATAATTAAGTGCATGAGGGTTTTGCTGTTAACACCTCCCCCAAATCTGCTCCTGAAGGTTGAGGGCAGGAGGAACCCAGAACAGATTTGGTTGGGGGCAGGGAGAGAACTGCACTGGGGGGGGGGGAGTCCTTGCACTGGCAAAAACACTTTGTTAGATAGAAACCATCCACAGTAATGGCACCAGCTGCCTGTCTCCACCTGCAGTATAAAGGGGAGCACTGTCATCAGTGCATCTGCTAAGCAGACCTCAGTTACCACAATATAAAGTGATGTTATTCTCACTACTTACCAGCTCTGCCGTAGGTTAAAGCAGTTTGTCTTATTTTGCGGGTGTTGAATTATATAGCCCTCACAGGCATGTGACCAGGAGCGGTTTCTCTGCTGTGCAAACAGTTCTGCTGCTGTTTATGTACTCACTGTATCTTCCCATTTCAGCTGAAGTTAGGAAATTTATTTGCATATGTTTAGCCAGAGCAGACATTGCTATTCTCCTTCGGCAAACCATTTTTGAGCTTACCTTACAGTGAGCAACTCTTTACACTTTGCTTTTGTCTTTTCGATTCATTTTCAATAAAATATTTTAAATTTTTATGAGATTTCCCCCCACTCATTAACATAACAAGAAAAATGCATAGGGCTATCTAACTTTGACAAGTGCATTTTATCCTAACTGTCGAGACAGAGGATACATGAATGAATGCATAGCTATTGTTGAATAGCCAAAATGATGCTGTTAAAATTCTGCAAGGCCTTGCAGAAAAATAATGGCATTAGCGTGACTCACAAACCTCCCAGCCTTCTGTAGAAGCCATTATAAAATGCAAACAGTTATGAATCTTGCACATCTTGAAATCTTTAACCATCCATCTGCTGCAGATATACTGCATTATCATTGCTATCACATTCTATAAACTTTCTTTGAAAAGTGATAAAGCTGCTCTGCCTTAAGGCTACTATCATTTAAAAAAACAAATATTGTGTTTTAAAATTTAAGTATATTGAATAATTTACCAACCTTTTTTAAAGCTGTGTGCTTCTTCTCTCTGCACCCAGGTCACCAGTTTGAAAGAGCGCTAGGTAGAACACAGTAAGGACTGAATTTTATCCAGTGGATAGGAAGACCCAGATTGCCCCACAGAAAGAGGGAGAGAGAGGGAAAGAATGAAGATGCAAAATGGTGTGTCCGATAAATGGGCAACAGGTTTAGTAAGGTGCAAAAATCTGCAATGAGCAAAAACCTGTTGGCAATAAGCTAACAAACCCTCAGTGCAGACTTCTGAACTTCAGGTCAGAATGGGGAGCCCACTAGGACTCTTCCTCTTGAGGATCCTTCTCACGCAATCTCACGCTGTGTCCATGCACAACCCCCTCTGCCCTGCCCATTTCATTTCTCTTCAGGAGACCGGGGGGGGGGGGATCTGGTCACAACATGAGGGGGAGACTCCCTGGTTTCTGCCTCTGCCTTGGAGTCTGAACTGTGCTTTGCCGCAGCCTCTTCCTGTCCACTACACCCTGTCGCCTCTGACACCTGCTCCCTCAGGTCAGCTCCTCCTCCCTTTCATCATCGCTCCACCACCAATCTGAGCCTTCTTCCCCTGGGAGTTCCCTAGGGGGGGTTCCCCGGCTGGTGCCTCCCACCACTCCTCTGTATCCAGACAGTCCATGACAGACTGAGATTAAACAATGGCCTAAAAACAAAAAGAAACGTGGGTGGCTTCATGCTCGTACAGTGGAACTTCGGTTTTCGAGCATCTCGAAAGCCGAACGATTTGGAACCCGAACGCCCAAAGCCCAGAAGTAATTGTTTCTGTTTTCGAACACACCTCAAAAGTCGAACGTCTTCCTGAGAGATCTGCATTGGCTCCCAGTACGTTTCCGAGCACAATTCAAAGTGTTGGTGCTGACCTTTAAAGCCCTAAACGGCCTCGGTCCTGTATACCTGAAGGAGCGTCTCCACTCCATCGTTCAGCCCCGACATTGAGATCCAGCGCTGAGGGCCTTCTGGCGGTTCCCTCATTGTGAGAAGCCAAGTTACAGGGAACCAGGCAGAGGGCCTTCTCTGTAGTGGTGCCCGCCCTGTGGAACGCCCTGGCCCCTTCAGATGTGAGGAAATAAGCAGTTATCCTATCTTTAAAGGACATCTGAAGGCAGCCCAATTTAGGGAAGTTTTTAATATTTAATGCTGTATTGTTTTTAACACTCGATTGGGAGCCGCCCAGAGTGGCTGGGGAAACTCAGCCAGATGGGCGGGGTATAAATAATAAATTGTTGTTGTTGTTGTTGTTGTTACTTCTGCTGTGTGTTTTTCAATTTTTTCCCATTGATTTTGCCGACCACCCTTTGTGCCTCGATTGTCGAGCATTTTGGAAGTCAAACGGTCTTCCGGAACAGATTACGTTCGACAACCAAGGTTCCACTGTATACTCCTCACTCCGTGGCTGTAACATCAAGTGATGGCTTGAATGTGTGAAGTAGTCATCACCAGTCAGCTACCACAGACAAAGCTTTCATTTCATCTCACGTCAGATGCAATAGTTTTCAGTGGAAGAAGCATGAACCCTTTGGGTCCATATCATGAAATGACTACTGGAGCATATAACAAAATGTTGCTGTGTCTCCACTTCCTTGCAGGAGTATTCTCGTCTAAGTTTCCTGCCAGCCATTTCAAACCCAATCCCCAGTTTTATACCGCACTCCCTCCTCAGCTGGGACTCAATATACTATGGCTATTACATTCAATCCTAGTTGGGCTGATTTCTCTCTCTCTCTCTCTCTCTCTCTCTCTCTCTCTCTGTGTGTGTGTGTGTGTTTTAAATAGTTTGTACTTCTCAATTTTTGGGTGTTTCCCTAATCATAGAAGAACCTCCCTCTTGTTTCTCAGAGGGCTTCAGTTTGGCTTAAATCCAGTCAGCCCCCACCACCCACGTTTGATATTAGCGGGAGTTGCGAACCATCAAGTGATCTCATTGAAAGATGAACACACAAAGCTTGAATTTTCTCTCACATGCCTCTGAGCACAAATATTGACTGTACTCAGGGACACTAAGTCCTTCAGGATATTGCTTATTCCACCCCAAACACAACTTTGGAATAAATGACATGATTTATAAAACAAGGCAGAGTCATTTGTGTTCAAATACCTTGACCTTCTCCCTCAATCGTGCATTTCACCAACTAATTCCCGAGTCAAGTCTGTATCATCTGATTTGCTCAAGCATGTATTTCTGAAAGACAACCGTCCGGGTTTCAAAGCCTCCAAAGAATAAAGGGATATGCTGTGTTTCTTATTGCAGTGTCCCAAATTATTAGTTTTCAGGTTCCAAAGGTAAAGGCCCTTTGCCTAATCACAGAAGTATGGGGAAAAGATATTTTAAGAGGTATTAATTTAAAGATAAAAGCCTTGTGCTTTGTGTACCGTGAATGAAGAGGCTGTTTGAGTGATATGTGTCATATCTCATATTCCCAAGTTAAGAACATAAGAATAGCTAACTTGAGCCACCCAATGGCCCATCTAGTCCAGCATTCTGTTCTCACAGTGGCCAAGCAGATGCCTTTGGGAAACCCTCTCCCCCTCCATGAATTTGTCATTGGATTCTGCTGTTAATAATAATAATAATAATAATAATAATAATAATAATAATAATTTATTTATATCCCACCCTCCCCAGCCTCAGAGCGGCTAACAACAGTAAAAGTAACACAGCATTCTAAAATCAATTCATTTTAAAATCAATTCAAAATCAAATTAATGGCAACCATTGGGCTAGAGTTCTGTGAGGATTAAGATCATTAAGATCATGAGATAGATCACAGATCCTCTAACTCTGTGGGTTTGGTTTTTCCAAATGCATATCCTTCCCCCTCCCTTTTCTTTTCTGAGAAACAAAGTGGAGAAATGTGAGGAGAATCAGAACTTACAGGGTTAAACAGTTCTGTGTGACGTCTCACATTCTGAGGCGTGGTTTGGTTCACATACGGGAATCTTTCTTTGTGTGTGAGTTTCCTTTCGTTTTTGGCTGAGAGACGAAAGAATGTCCGCTCTCTCGACGGGACTGATTTATGATGTTTTCCTTCTCATTAAAGGCTGTTAGAGATTAGCAAGAAGCCTGCGTTCAGTTTGATTTATTATCCACACACAAGGCAACATTTTCTACCGCTGCTAAAGAACTCTGCTAAGAGCTTCAAAGAGCTCACGTTTTCTATCGGCGCAAGCATCCAAAGGCACAGGGGAAGTGTGCCGGGCGCCATCTTATCTCACAGGTTATGGAAGCTAGCCAAGCTTTGGAAGCTGTTGCCACATCGTGCCTGTGTGTGTGGGAGAAGCCAGCTGGAGCCCCTGCCTAACGTTTGAGGCAGGGAGGCTTGCTGGGAGGATCTCATCTTCAGGACCGGGTGCCGAGAGGAGCTGCTGTTTACGTGAGTAGGCTCAGCCCTGGGGGAGAAGATGGCAGATGGCCAGGAGTCGTACTCAGTCCCTTTTGCAAAGCTGAATGGGAGCAACTGGGAGGAGTGGTCAAGGAAGCTGAAGGCCTGGCTGGTAGCCAAGGGTCTGTGGGAGGCGATTCAAGGGCCCCCACAGCAAGCTGCAGCCGGAGCTGCAGCAGCGGTTGTTGCAGCTGCCCAAGCCTCACAGAGGAAAGACCAGAAAGCCCTAGGAGCTATAGTGCTCAGTTTGGAGGGCTCACAGCTACCTTTGGTGGAGGGTCTTGACAGTGCCCAGGCTGTTTGGCAGGAGCTGGAGAGGGTTTGCCGAGGAACCACAGCGGAATCCAAAAGCCACGTCCCCAGATGCAGTAAAGCCTCAAGGAGAGCTGCTGGCAAGGTTGGGGGCGGCAGAGAAGAACAAAGGCAAGTTTGCAAAGTTTTCCACCGGTTGTTTGTGTGACGAGGAGGAACGCCGTCTCAAAGAGGGCCGAGCTGGCGCAGGGTGCCCTGCCGGCAACAGAGGGGGGGGGGGCCAAGCCAGAAGGCACAGTTCAGGTTTTTTCCACTCACCGTTGTTTTGTCTGCGGGTCTGTTGACCATTTGCGTCGATCCTGTCCGAGGAGAGCTAGAGAGGCCGGGCAGGATGTCTCCAAGGTCGCTTCCCATGGCAGTCAGCCAAGTCCTCGTGGCAGCCAGCCAGGTTTCCATGGCAGCCAGTCTAGGAGAGGAGGCCAGCGTGGGAATGCAAAGGGAGGACGTGACAGAGGAAGTGAGAAGGACGGTTCTTCTTATCACCTAGCTGCCTCTATGGCAACGCTGAGGGACAACTCCAGTGAGGGCAGCATGCTGCGTTGGGTCATCGACTCAGGAGCCAGCCATCACCTGATGTCATCGCCATCTAGTGGCGAAATGTGGAACTGCAGGGCTGTTTCAACTGGGAAAACAGTCTCTCTTGCTGATGGCTCACAGAGACAATTA